CCCAATCTGCCTTCTCTTTATAAGTCCCCCCCTTTCTCTTCCTCCTTTACCCTCCTACTTCCCCATAGGGTAAGATAGATTTCTCTACCCAACTGAGTGTGCATATTATTCCCTCTTTGGGTCAAATCTGATGAGAGTAAGTTTCAAACAATACTTATCCCCTCCCTTCTGTCATGCCTCTTCATGTGATATAATTTACTCCATTCCACCTCCCCCCTTTCTCTTTTCCCAGTACGATCCTTTTTTCACCCCTTAATTAATTTTTTATCATTACATCAGAGTCAATTTATATGCACACCCTCCATCTAAGTATACTCCTAACTGCACTAAGAGAGACACAGTTCTTAAGAGTTACAAGTATCATCTTCTCATGTAGGGATATAAACAGTTTAACTTTATTGAATACTATGGGGTTTTTTCTTTCCTGTTTACCTTTTTATGCTTCTCGAGTCTTGTATTTGAAGATGAAATTTTCTGTTCAGCTCTGATTTTTTCATCAGGAAAGTTTGAAAATATCCTATTTCATTGAATATCCATCTGTTCCCCTGAAAGATTGTGCTCAGTTTTGCTGGGTAGTTGATTCTTGGTTGTATTCCAAACTCCTTTGCCTTCCAGGATATCATATTCCAATCCCTCTGATCCTTTAATGTAGAAGATGCTAAGTCCTATGTAATCTGGTGGCTCCTTGGAATTTGAATTGTTTCTTTCTGGCTGCTTGCAGTATTTTCTCCTTGACCTGATGGTTCTGGAATTTGGCTACAATGTTCCTTAAAGTTTTCATTTTGGGATTGCTTTCAGGACATTATCAGGGATTCTTTCAGTGACTATTACATCCTCTGTTTCTAGGATATCAGGGCAGTTTTCCTTAGTAATTTCTTTAAAGATGTGTCCCAGGTTTGGTGTTGTTGTTGTTGTTGTTGTTTTATCCTGCCTTTCAGGTAGTCCAACAATTCTTAAATTATTTCTCCTCGATCTATTTTCCAGGTCAGTTGCTTTTCCAATAAGGTATTTTACATTTTCTTCTATTTTTTTCATTCTTTTGATTTTGTTTGATTCTCAGTATCTCATAAAGTCATTAGCTTCCACTTGCCCAAGTCTAATTTTAAAGGAATTATTTTCTTAGTTAGCTTTTGTACCTCCTTTTCCACTTGGTCAATTCTATTTTTGAAGAAGTTGTTTTCTTCAGTCAATTTTTGTGCTTCCTTTTCTAAGCTGTTGACTCTTTTTTCATAATTCTCCTGCATAACTCTCATTTCATTTCCCAATTTTTCTTCTACCTCTCTTACTTGATTTTTAAAATCCTTTTTGAACTCTTTCAAGAGGACTTTTGGGGCTTGAGACCAATTTATATTTCCCTTTGAGGCTTCACATGTAGACATTTTGACATTGTCCTCTTCTGAGTTTGTGTTTCAATCTTCCCTGTCACCATAGTAGTTTTTTATGGTCAGGGCTCTTTTTTGGTTTTTGCTCATTTTTTAAAGTTGAGCTCTGCTCCTGAGGTACAGAGGGCACTGTCCCAAGTTTCTTGCACTGGTGGCCGGGGGCCTGGTCACTGGCTCTCTGTGCTGGGGCCTCTGGGACTGGCAGCTTGCCCACTGCACTAGGATGGCCTGGTCTAGTTGCACCTGTTGTGCCCTGTGTTCTGGAGCTGTCAGTTTGCCTGCTGCACTGGGGCTGGAGGCCTCACAGCTGGCCTGCTGTGCCTCTAGCCTGCTGAGCCAGAACCATGAGGCCTCTGTTGCTGATCTGTGCTGTGACTAAGAGCCTCCCACTGGCTTGCCCAGATCCTCCCTGTCCTGAGCTGTGTTCCCCTATAACCAAGTGAGACAGACCTTTCCTGAAGTCCTTCTAAGTTATCTTGGGCTGGAAAACTGTTTCACTCCACATTTTTGTGGATTTTGTTGCTCCAGAATTCTTTTAGAGGCTTGATTTAACATTGTTTCCCAGGGAAACTGGAGAGAGGTCAGGCAACTTCTTGGCTTCTCTCTGCCATCTTGGTTCCACCCGGTTTGTTTCTTTTTCATAAGATCACTAATTCATAACTTGTTTGGTTTCTGTCTGTCAGACTGGTTAATTAAGCTAATTTTTAAGTTAATTACGTTAATTTCCTGTTAAGTTTTGGTAATTCAAATTTTTGTAGATAATCACTTAGATGCTTTAAGTCTTCTCACTCCTACAGGATGTCTAGTATTCCCTAATGAAACTCCTTCTTTTGTGTTGGTTGCAATCTCTCCATTTTCATTTGTAATTTTGTTGATGTGCATTTTCCTTACCTGTTGTTTTAGTTTGCTAATAGTTCGTCAAGTTGTTGATCTTTTCCTTAAATCATCTCCTGGTTTTATTCACCATTTATTCCTGATTTTATTCAATTTTTATTTCACTTCCTATTCTTTTATTCCTGCTGTTGGCTCTATGAGCTTTCCTTTTCTTTAAAAAACAACAACAAATAAATTGTCCCTCACTTTCAGTCTTCACGCAAAAGTTGAATGGATGCCCACCTCAGGTGTGCTGGAAAGTACATTACTCTTCCTCAGGTGCTGGGACTAGATGGTTTCTGATGACAGGATTCAATGACTATTGCCTTTTTCCTTATCCGGTTTTTTTTAGACGCAAGTTTAATTCATTTCTTCTCTTTCTCAGCAAAAGAAGACACTGTGATGTCAATTTGTCTCCAAGAATTGCTTTGGCTGCATCCCATTGATGTTGACTTACAGCATTTTTAGCATGGTCCCTTATATATTGTGTTTTTCCCCTTTATTTCTTTTTAGATGTTTTAATTCTTGTTAGGTGTTTTTGAGGGAATGCATTGAAACTGATTTAGTTAAGTGAATTGTTGCAGAGCAAGTATGATCAAATGTATTAACATTTAATGCTACGTATAATAAGTCATCTAAAAAAAAAGAAGGAAACACTGATTCAAAGTATTGAGGGGGTAAGAAAAGATGGAACTCTGCCCTTACTAGATCCCAACAGCTCAAAATAAAGAGGAAGCAAACAGCCAAGGACAAGGACAAAAGAAATATATTTCTTACCCTGAAGCTAGTTTCTCTCTGTCGTCCCAAAGGCCTTTCCAACTCTAAGTCCTATGCTCCTTTAGTCTAAATAAATGGTTGTATCTACTACCTTTTCTTGTTCCATTGTTTCAACGGTGTCCGACTTTTTGTGACCCCGTTTGGGGTTTGCTTGGCAAAGACGCTAGAGTTGTACGTCATTTCCTTCTCCAATTCATTTTACAGATAAGGAAAGTGAGGCAAACAGGGTGAAGTGACTTGCCCAGGGTGACACAGCTAGTAAATGTCTGAGGCTGGATTTGAACTCGGGTCTTCCTGACTCTAGGCCCTGTGTACTATCCACTGCACCACCTACCTGCCCTATTAGACATTTCTAACCAGATCTCATAAGCATCTGAAACTCAACTCATCCAAAACAGAACTCATTATCTCACCCCAAAAACGTACTGTTCTTCCAAGCTTACTTCTTACTTTCAAGGGCACCATTATCCTTCCTGTCACCAAAGTTTGTAACCTAGGTGACGTCCTCAACTTCTTACTCTCCCTCACCCATATAGTTGCCAAATCTTGTTTTTCCCTTCACAAATCTCTTGGATATGTACCCTTCTCTCCACTCATATAGCCACCTCTCTAATTTAGGGTCTTATCACCCTTCACCTGGTCTATTGTAGTAAACACCTGTATTTCGTCTCTCTGTCTCAAATCTTTTCCCATTCCAAGTGATATTCCTGAAGTTTAGGTCTGACAGCATCAGCTCAGTACTCAATAAACTCCAGTGACACCCTACTCCTTTTAGGAACTTCCATCCAGCATTTAAAGCTCTTCAAAGTTTGTCCCCTTCCTACTCTTACACCCTTCTTACACGTTGTGGCTCCACACCCACTCTACTGGGCAGCCATACTGACATCCTTGCTGTTCCATACTCCTGATTCTCCATCTCCTCTTTCTGTGGCTTTGCTCCACTGGTGCCTCAAACCCTAGCATGCTCTCCCTTCTCATGGCTACCTTTTGGAATCCATGGTAGCCTTCAAAACTTAGCTGAAGCACCTTCTCTGTGAAGCCTTTCTTGAGCCACCACAGCCACTAGCATCCTCTCTCCCAAAACTACCTTGAATTCATTTTATTTTAATTTTATATTATATTATATTATTTATTTTTTAATATTTATTTATTTTTATTTATTTATTTTGCATCTGTACATACTGAATGTGAACTCCTGGAGGGAAAGGACCACTTTCCCTTTTGTTTTTGTAACCCCAGTACTTGGTCCAGCATCTAGGACATAGCAGGTGTTTAAATGATTACTAATTGGCTATTTGGCTGACATCAAGCTGTCCCACTGTATTCCTGACCCTAATAGAGAACCGTGGTATCATGGGAATTAGTTAATCAGATAAAAAGATGCTGCTGGGACCTGGGAACCAAGGCCTGGCATGGAAATATCATTTGGGTTATTGGTTTGCTTTTTACTGGCATAGTATCATGAAGTTCCTGGGTTTACTATGTCTGTGGTAGACACTGGGCTTAAATGGGAAATTTCTAAAACCAAGTTGCTTGATCTTATGAAAAGGCTGCACAGAAGTGAATAGGATGCCCTCAAAAGCAGGGAAGTACTTTTCTAGGACAATCACAAAGAGGGAAACGATAACATACCAGGGGTGGGGACCCTCTAGGTGCTCAAGTGTGGCCCTTTGACTGAATCCAAACTTCACAGAACAAATCCCCTTAATAAAAGGATTTGTTTTGTAAAACTTGGATTCAGTCAAAAGGCCACACCCAAGGACCTAGAAGGCCACATGTGTCCTCAAGGCCACAGGTTCCCCATCCCTGGCATAGACAGTTACAGAAAAGGAGAAGAAAAAGCCAGAGCATAGGGAAGATCTATTGTGGTTTTGAGATAAATATAGTTACAGGCACCCCCCCCCCATATTTCAGTTAAATAATTGTATTGTGACAATTTTTCAAGTTATGAAGAGGAAGAATTGGTTTAATAGCTTTGAGGGGCCTGCCAGAGTGGCAGAAATACAGGACACAGGGCACCAGCTCAGATCTGCTCTCTCCAGTATTGCTACGTGATACCTTGAGGCTTATCAAAGGTTCAAGGGAATTTGCCTGGCCCTGGAACAAGTGGCCAACAGCCAGGTATGTGAAAGGATTTAAAAGAAATTTTCTTATTCCTACCTAACTACTGGGGGTTGAGGAATGGGGTGAAGGGCTGCTGGGAAAGTCACCTACAAAAATGGTCCTGACAGCTGGGGAATAGTGTTTGTCTGCCATCTGTGGACATGACTCACTAGAAATCTGGAAAAGGTGATAGTCAGCCCTAGGCATGGACAGTCTTATAAAGGAAAGATAAAAATCCCTTAGAGTGGCTAGCAGCAAGGGCATACAAATTTCCTTAAGGACTTTGTAAGCCATAAGGAGGCACTTAGCAACACTAGAACTAGGATATCTGAGACCTTGGCTCATTTCTAACCCTCTGGCCCAGGTCTTATACCCTTATATTATCACCATCACCATCATGATCACCATCACCATCACCACCACCATCACCATCACCATCACCATCCCCACCACCACCACCACCATCACAACCACCATCACCATCACCATCACCATCACCATCACCATCACCATCACCA